TCATTCTGGTAGGGGCAGAGGGGGTGTTACGATGGTCATGTTCATGGTTTCCACTCTAGGATCCACTTTGTGTCCTTTTGTATGTTTGCAAACATGCTCTTACACCTTGCTCTTTCTTCATTGATCTGCATCTTCATGTTACACCCAAATTTACTGTACATGGTGACTTTTACATATCTATGCTAGATACTATGTCTTCACTCATTTTATTGCCCCTAAAACCAGTTTTGTCCAGCTCCAGGTCTGCATTTCCTTAACTGACCATTGGTTAGTGGTTTATAACCGTGGGGTCTCCAGGGCTGCCTGTGCCCCTTGTGTTGTCATTCCATGCCTGCACTCCGCTACACCACCTCCTGTGTCTCCACTTCTCAAGGCCTCTTAACATATCAGCCCTGTGCCACTTGATACTACATCATTGTGTTAGAGGCATAAATATCTCATTCTACAAAGAATAACAGCTTGTGTTACTGTTTTCTATATAAAATTATTGCTGTTACAGCTAAACCAAGTAAAGCAAAGCTGCAGGCAGATCAAGAAAGGTTCAGAGAGCGCGAACCTGATGAGCCTCAATGGCTTTGCAAACTCTGTTCAAAGCTTACGGCGTTTTGCAAGCATGGTAATACGACATTACAGGGCTGGCCAGTTACACTGCTGGCTGCTTGTAAATGATACCACTTGCCAAAAAGCTGTGGAACTACCTGACCTGTGCACGATTGCAAAGCTTAAAGCTACTGCAGTTCCAAAAATCATTTGTGGTTTAAAAAAAACCCAGAAAACCAACTTACTTTGTTGAAATATCTGAGACTTCTGTGTGATACACGGATCAGAGGATATACCCCAGGAAACATGGCTACCATGACCCAATAAGACTATCATGAAGCTTGGCACTGACAGAGGCAGGATCTAATAATATTGAGCAATGGCATTTTATAAAATAAATTTGATACCAGGAACTAAAGAGGTTTGCTCCAAGGATATAAGCAAAAGAAGATTTATTGGAAGTTATCTCTTTCATTAGACCAACTGATAGTTGACCTGAGGAAAGTCTTGTGTATCTGACAGCTTAATGAGGGGTTGGTTTCTTTGTTTGTTTTTCCAAATGTATTTTTCTAATAAAAGATGCAGCTTCTGCTTGCAAACTTTGCCTCAAATAAGAATAACACATAATCATACGCATCTTACCATTACGGTGTCTGTTCGTAATTGGTGTTAGCTGTCACATGATAAAAATTCAATAAATCTCCTGATGGAAAGGGAGCAAAAGAGTCTGTAAATTTTCACGCACATTTGCAGATGTAGTTGAGTCCCAGGAAACAAAAAGGTTTGACCTTACATAGCTAATGGGCATTCAGAACCTATATATCTGTGTTGTCTTCATTAAAATTTTGCCTCTCAGTAGTAGTGACGACTAGCAACAAAGAATAAAACTTCATTCCTAAACAAAATATTGATTTTATTCTTTGGATGTCTCCAGCCAAATACATGTTTTAAACATGCTGTTTGGCTAAGAAGAGACTATTGATAAATTCACAGAGGCAAAAGATCATGAATCTTGTTCTTGGTGCAAAGTTTGATATGGAACAAAGCATGAACCTTTTAAAGCAGAGAGAACATAAATGTTGAGTACAGGAGTGGTATTGCTGTGTTTCATGCAACTATTTTTATATTCTGCATGTGTACTTAATATTCATTTAGCTTTGCAAGCCAAAGCCAGTGTCATCATTATCTGACACTGTACAAATCTGCCTTTGGTTCTAGTATCAGCAAATGTAATTGAATTTAAAGCAAATGTTTGAGAGGAGAAAAGCAAACTTAAGACCTCAATTATAAAAAGAAAAAAAGACATCTAATTTTATGTGTGTATCTATCTGAGCTTGTTCAACCCACTTCTATCAAACCTATTTAAATGCAATTCTCCAGTGTTCTTCTCTGGAAAAGCAAAGTTCTGCATCAGTGGTGAAAGTGTTGTGAACGTATTGCTGGTTTTTAGCACCAGCAGAACTGAAGATGGAAAATTGGAGTGTTATCAGGTATCTTAACGTAATAGTGGTTTTTTTTTCTTATTTATAAACCTTATAGGATGAGAAACATCTAAACATAGGATGAGTTTAGATTGCAATTTTAAACAAGAAGATTATTTCTTTCAAATGCAAGTTTAACTCTCAGACATTCAACTGAAAGGGGCATCTCAGTTTTCAGAATTGCATAATAAGAAATGATAAAATTGGAATTTTCATTAACATTATGCCATGTTTAGTTTTCTAATGACTTCCACAAAGAATGTTCTTAGTTTATAAATGAAAATAACATTTTAATAACTGCCAACTTACTACAACATTTGAATACCCAACTGCTATCTTTATGCTTCACTCATCACTGCATGCATTAAGGATTCTGGAAATGTAAGATTTCTTTATTATACCGCCAAGTAAAGTAGATTACAGCTTTCATTTTTGCAGCAATAGTATATAGAGATTCCTAATGCAGGCAGGTTTTAGGTCTTTGATTTTCTTATAAACTAGTGAAATGAACCATAGAAGATACTCTGTGGTTATGTATAGTCCTGAAATATTTTTCTTCTTTTGCCTCCTTGATGACAATTATACTTCAGGAGTTAAATTAGCAAATGAATGGGGTTATATGTAAAGGTTAGTAGAATGAAGGAACAAGGGGAACTTACATGGATGCTTAGAAGTGCTATTAGTCTGCAGTAAAGAGATGCTACTTTGTTCTGTGATTTGAACTCACTTCCAGTCTTTATCTTCAGTGCCATTGCACATATAGGTGAAATAGTCTCACCTAATCAGCCATGTGAGAGCAGAATTCAGTAATGATTCAGGATGTGCTGCGCTGTGACAGAGAAGTCCATCATTGCCAAGACAGGTTGGCAGAGAAGTGTTTACCTTTCACGTGTGTTCAGAAGCTAGAGGAGGTCTGGGTCAGGTCGAGCACTCCAAAGCCCCATGTGGTATTCGTGCGCAATAGCATTACCACTGGGGCAGGGGGAGGTGGTGGCCTTCAGCTGCTGGATCAGTATCTGATGAACAGGACAAGGCCAACAAGCCGATTACAGCAATGTCCACTCCTCTTGTGTGTCACTAAAGGTGACACTAGTCACTAGTGACATCAGTCATTAAGGTGCTACTGCTCCTAGTGGGGTGCAAGCAAAGTGAATTTTGCTTGCTTGAAGATTGAAACACTTACAGTCTGACCCAAACAAGGGCTGATGCAAAACTGAATGCCCAGGAATGGTTTCCAAGAAGTCTGCAACCTCCAGCAGCAGCAGCAGCTTTCCCTTTTCAGCCAGGTCAGTGAGCACCAGCATTTTGACCTCTCAAGTTATGAGAATCTCAATGTGAAACTTGCGCATCAAACACCACACTTGGGATGTCTCCTTTACATGGAGTCATCTGGCATAATCCTGATTACAGTACTAGGTTTAGACCTTTTGAGGGTTCCCAAATGCAGGGCAGCTCCAAAGGCTTTTATCTTGCTCTTGGTCAATATGGGGAAATTGGGCAAGGGAGAGAGAACATAAGGACTGAAAAATATCTATATCCATCTGAACAACAGATAGACAGGACTTTGGAACTTTTCAAGTTACAAAACAAGCTTGTGTCCTAAACAAGCATTGGTTGTCTTGATTTAGCAAGTAAAATACTGTTGCTTAATCTTGCTTGACTGAAATGGTATTTAATTAGCATCCAGCGTTAAAACAAAGATGGGATTTTTCATGGCCTTTAGAAATGCCACTGCATAGTGCATTGTTCTTTCTGCTGTTAGAAATCAATACACTTAAAAGTTGACAATAATAGCAGCCCTTTTAAAGTGCGTAGTAGTGCACGGTGGCTACTAAGACTTTTGGTGAAGGAAGCGTTGTACTTTCTCTACAGTTAATTTTGTCCTTTTGGGTATCTCCACTTCTCATCTTCATGATTACCCCAGAAAAGCCACTTATGGCAAATGAATATTTCATGGGGTTTTTTAGTATGTTTGCCAAAACTACCATTATCTTCAAGACTGAAGAGATGACTCCAGTTCCATAAGTTGCTCCAGCTAGATGCTGTCACTTTTCATTTTAAGTATTTTTTTTTTCCCTTAAGAGGGAAGTGGGGAGAGTGAAAATTCAAAAAATATCTTCATTAAAAACAGCAAATGTGGTTTGGCAAATAATTGTTTAAGAATTATTAGAAATTTGTCAGAGAACAAAAAGCTCATGATAGGCGATCCTTTAACAATTAGTTCTTCAAAATCGTACCCGGCAGCTATGGCATTTTGAATGCAGAAATCTACTGGACCAACATTGCTTACACAGGAGAAATATCTTACAGCCTCAGTAGAGTTCTGCAGAGGTCTGGCTCT